TTTGGGTATTCTGTGGTGTATCATTGTTTCTTTGATCCAGGCCTGAAAACGTTCTTCTGTGGAATGAGTGTCGGTTGGTGAATTTGAGCTAGGCCTGCAGATGTTCTAGATATTCACCTGAAGTGTGTGGGGGTTGACCCTTGGCCACTTCCATTTAAAGGGGCTGTTCTGGGCTGACTTGCCTGTGTTTACCTGTGCTGGTGTCTCAGAGAGGGTTACATGCTCTCCCAACAGACCAGTGGACACAGATGCCCATGTGTGGCCCTTCTCCTCTCTGTGGATCACTGCTCATCTCTGCTTCACCTGTCTCTTTGGGGAGACCTGGAAATCACACAGCACAGTGCTCCAGTTGCATGGGATTGCAGTGTGTTGAGGGGGAAGGAAGGGTTGCTCAGCTCTATACCCTAGACTTGGTTTACCCCCCACCCCATCTATTCTCCTGAAACATCTGTTTGCCGGAGCAGTACTGCACAAGGCCCTTGGGGTATGAAATGATGAGACCTGACCATTTTCCTGGGCACAATCTGGAAAGCAGGACAGAAATTCAACGTGGTTTGCAAGGATCTACCCAATCCCTACCTGGGCAGATATGGAAAAAGTGCTTGCTTTCTTCTGACTATTTCTACCTGTAGACCCTGCCACCTTTAGCCTGTCTCAGACTGGCTGTCTCTCCTTCCTTTCCATCCAAGGCATAAAGGCTTTGCCTTTGGGTACTCAGAAGTAGAGCTTGTACTATCACCAGGCCCCCCTCTAAAAGACTATTTTCTCTGCATTGCATTTACAAAGCTATTTCAAAACCCCAAAGCCACAGTTAGGTTTTGTGGGGTTTCTCTTTTGAAATGACCTTTTTAGGGCCAGTGAGTTCTTCATGGTCTTTGTTTCAGACATCTGAGGTGTGGAGGAAAGCTATAAAGTAAAAAGGAACAAGGGTGGGAGCACAGAACACATTGCCATATTAGGTGTTCATTTTAAAATACAAAGAAGCAAAATAGAAAAAAATATCTCTTTTCCATTTTAATTTGTTTTAAGATTAATTCTTCTGTTATTTGCTTTCTGGAGAATGGTTTTTAAATATTCTCTTTAACCTTTCTGTGAAAAATGTGAGCTCAGTATTAATTTCTTGTAGATGTGCTTCCAGCAAAACTTGTTCTTAATATCTCTGGTGTGCAGTCATCTGAGGTTTTCCCATTTGTTCCAAGGCACTTGAAGGGTTGCTTTGGGATTGAAATTTACAGCTACCATCCATTGAACTTGGACACCATCTTTTTATGTTTACTGTGCGTCTTTCACAACATAATGATTTCCAAGCTTCATTTAACTTGATTCATACTAAACAAGCAAGCCTGGGAGGTGGGGGTGGCTGGGAAAAAAAGAAAAGCTTGCTTCTTAGTGATTTTGGTATTCTGCCACATTTTTGTTCCATCATGTTAATTGGTTCTTCAGTGAAATTATATCAAGGGCTTTTTTCAAAGGCTCATTTAGAATACCTTCTTAGGAGAAGTGTGGGTCAGATGAGAATGAACTACAAAACTGAATTGTTACTTAACATGACAGTTAGTCTCCTGGACCAAGTACTATCAGTTTTTTGTGTATATCTTTGGTAATCTGATGCAAATACAACTGGAAGTTTGCCAGGGTTTTGTTTTTTGTTTGTTTTGTTTTCTTTTCTTTTTGTTCTTTTCTCCAGAGGTATTTTAGAAAGAAATTTTATTATAGGGACCCTGAAGCCCAAACAGTTTGACTAATTTATTACTCTCACTACTCTTTTATTACTTTGTATTATTAGATTATATACTTATCAAAACAAAACTAAAAGCCAATAACTACACAATAATTTCAATACTTTGGAAAGTGAATAGATTGAATGTATTTGTTTCATTCTCTATAAATCCCTCAGATGCTAATGTTGTAGGGTGATGGATGACACAGAGTTTACATATTAAAATAAGAAAAGTAAAAGCTATACCCATTCAACAGATGTGTTGAAGGAGAGATTGAGTGGCTGATTCTGGCACTTTTCTCGGGATGTTCAAGAAAGGTAGAATGTTATTTATGGATGTCTTTAATATGAGCTATAATTATTTTGTATTAATATACTTAATAACCATAAGAATTTCTTCTATTTTGGGGGCTACAGAATTTTGCTTACCAAGAATTAAATTACAGCAACTATTCTTTATTTATTTATTTTTTCTTTTGGTACTGGGCATCAAACTCAGGTCCTTGTGCTTGTGAGGCAGGCGGCAGAGCCACTGAGCTAAATCCCCAGCCCACATTTATTTCTTTTAAAGGTTTTTTTTAATCAATCTGAAACTTTGTTTGAAACCATTTACTCTCCAAGATTCACATCAATCACATTTTATTCCAAAACCTGTTCATTTTCAACCACAATAAGATAATAGATGATATTAGCAGTCAGTAGACCTTTCTGTGCCTTACTAGAGGTATTAATAAGATGAAATTGACCTTATCTCCCAAAGTACATTTATTTACTTTTTTTTTTGCTTTGTTTTGTTATAATGATTTTTTTCCTCGTTCCTTTGTTAAGATAATTTACAAATGGAACAAAGGCTTTTAAAATCACTGAACATTTATTAAATCAGTAGTTTCATTATATTGTGGCTATATACATTGCGATACAACAGACATGGAAATAAAAAGTTTCAGGTGAAGTGGTAGTAACTTTAACTTGGGTTGGATTATTAGCTATTTAAAAGAATTATTTTAAGCTTCATTTTTTCTCACAGTTACAGGAAATCAGGTGAACTGGAAATGAGTGTGAACTAATTATTATGCTACTTGAAACCAAGAGACAAATACTTCTCCATGCATTTTCACTGTGATGAAAGGTTAAAAAACAACTCAGAAGCAATTCTGCCTAGGAAGAGGAAGACTTAGAAAACAAAGGGAAATGTTACATCAGTATCATCTAGCTTCGTGTGTTAATAGAACTTGCCTATATTTTTTATGTGGAAGAACTTTCATTCCTCCACCTTTCAAACATGCCTTCTCAGTCCAAGAGAAACTGCTGGAAAGCCTCCTATTGGAATTGGTTGCCAGGGTAATCCTTCCTGTTTGAAGGTGCATTGGCTGTAATCAATGATTTGTAGATTAATATTGCTCTCGATCATCTGTGTGTCCTCTGTGAGACCCAGGTGGGATCAAGGATACTAGGAAGTTGGAGAACTAGGAAGGGTGTGTGTGTGCTCCTGTGGGCTGGGTGACTATGGGCCAGCTGGGGGCATTGGAAGTGAGGTGGAGGTGTGGACGTGCAAAAACTGGGCTCTAGGTCACCCTCTGAAAGCTACCTCCTGCAAACAGTGTTATACTTGGGCATTAGACTGACAACATGATGACCTTTAAAGGAATTTGAGTGCACTGGGACTCTTTCTCTCAGAAAATATCTGAACAAGAACTTGTATAGGTCTTGTCCTTACAGTTTACAGCTTCATTTGTCCACTTAAACATTAGAATTCTATCACATACAGTGATTTGTAGGAGTAGTTAAAAAAATGCCATATGGGTTCTTTATTAAAAAAAAGGGAAGAATATTGTTAATTACCCATACGTACAGAACACTGATTTCAGATTGAAAACATATTTTGTGTAAACTGTATGATAGTGTAAATTAAATGAGATAAGGCGGTACTGTAATTAGTCATGATTATTGCTAGACCAATCTAATCTACTTAAAACAATATTTCTGTGACTTTTGCCTATAGATAAATTATTTATAAAATATAAGAATTTTGATATTGAAGTAGTAATTAAGGTAAAGGTAATTTTATTCAACTTCAGAACTTAAACATTGCTGCAATACAGTGGTTCATTGAAAACATCTATTGAATGCCTGCGGGATTCTGGGGATCATCCTAGGTACCTGCAGGCTGAAAGTGAGTTGAGCAGACCTACTCTTCTCAAGCTCACCTGTAATGATGCTGGCCCTGGACCAGAGAAAGATCATTTACAATTTTATTTTAAGAAGCATTTTCCTACATGTTCTGGTGATTTAACTTGTAAAGTTAGCACCATTATCTAGTGAATTTTCTTGTCTTTATTTTCACAAAAAGATGATCTTTGAGCTGAAAATGCATAGTTATTTATAGTTACCCGGACAAAATCAGTTTCTTCAAAAATCACATATTGAATGATTAGCTGCTGGGAACTATTTTGTGCTAATGGCAGTTAGAAAAAAAAATGGAGCAAAAGAGATCAAAGTATAGTCAATTACTGGTAATAACAAACCAGAGTATAATCTGAAGCAGTTGTGACTTGGGCTTTGTGTGAATCTCAGGAGTGAAGTGGGGTGTTGTGTGTCTGTGGAACAGGGCACACTGTTGCCCTTATATATGTGTGTTGGTGAAAAATTTTATAGTTTCAATTTTGCATTTCTGGCCAGATTAAAATTTACAACTAATTGTTTGAGGGTCTCCTCTCTCTTTCTCTTAGTGCACAAGTGGCCTTTGGCTTAAGTTCCTTGAACTCCAGGGAAATAAATGACATCATGTTTTAGGTGATTTCATAGCTGAGATTTTCTCTCCTTCATAGCTTCTTATTTAGGGATGGTGATAGGGAAATAAATTAGAATTTCCCTGTAGAATAAAGAGCAGGCAGTATCTGAAAGAATACACCAATTCATGAAATAAATATTCCATTAATATAACATTTAACATTTAAAGAAAAAATGGGTGCTTTGCAGGAAGAGAAAACCATCAAATGTTTTAATAGATGAGCAGTATTTTGCTTTAGACTATCCAAAAAGGAAAAATGGGTAAGTTGTCTCATTTCCGGTTTATTGCATAAAAATAAGAACCTAAAGGTCATATGGCTCTTGTTCTTACCAGTCATCACCTGTAGTGAAAGAGGCACCTGAATGTTGCTTTGTCACTAGTCGCCACTGTGATTTGGGGAAGTTTTGGAATTAGGTGGGACTGTGACAAGACTGTCACAAGATTTTTATGAAAAGATCAGTTATGAATTGCTTTGTCATTGCTTTGTAGTTACCAGCTGACAAGTGGATATAAACCTGCCCCAATGGACCTGAGCATCATAAAACTTACCCCTGCTCAGGAAGCAATGGTAGACAGGCTGGCGGAAAATGCTCACAATGTGTGGGCCCGGGATCGGATCCGGCAGGGCTGGACCTATGGAATTCAGCAGGTACCCAGGAACACATGGACTAAGATTCACTTATGCTAAATGGGAATTATAATAATTTGCAACTGCAGAGATTAAATTATGGCTATTTCAAAGCTCATTATGTATTAATGTACTTGTACATATGCGCAAAAGCACTTGCTTAGCACTGCAGTCTAGAAATTAGATGACCTTACCTCAGGTGCTACAGTGAGTCACGCTACAATCTAGATTTGTAACGTGGATTTGTGGCATTTTCCTCGGTGAGCTTGAATGGTAACAGGGACTTTCAAAAAACATGAAAATATTGAGTAAAATAATGATAATAGAAATTAGATCCAGAACTCCTTATTTACAACCCCTGGGGCCAGATAAATGTGAGAATTCAGACTTTTTAGGGTAGAGGTTTTCTAAATGGTAATGTGATGATAATTACTTGTTTTACAAGCCCCTCAGTAGGGCAACAGAGTAAATTGCCACTCCTTCAGCACAACATAGCCACAGTAATAGCCAGGAGGATAAAAAGACTATATTAGTTCAGGTTTTACCATGAATTGAGTTTTTGTCAAAATTTTTGTGAGTTTTTGTGAATTAATGGAAAGAATAATTCCCCAGGTGGTCATACCCTAAAGACTTATAGGTGTTGACACATCTTTGTCTTCCCTCTGAAAGTAAGTTCTGTACCTCCTCCCTCACTCTTTATCAACATGTTAGTCCTATTTTATAATTGGGTCCTCTTTTATAATAGATTGGTTAAGTCATTTTAATATTCTTGATATTACCCAGCTTTAACAGTTGATGGAGTCGACTTTCCATGGTGTTAGAGGGACATAGAATGGCTGTCAATAATGCACTGGGTTTTCTCTAAAGAAAGGAAAGTGGCCTGGTGTTGTCTGTTGATTCACAGTCACTGAGGGGTGACCAGCACTAATTTGGCTCCTCTAGTAACAAGTGCTTATCAGCAAATTGTACAGGAAACTATAGCTGTCTATGTTAACCCAATTCCTGAGACCATGGCATCAGGAAGATGGTTAGAGATCAGTAAAGCTGGGTTTCATTATTGTCTTTAGTCTTTTCTCATGTGGAAAGCCTGTTTTAAATTGATGTGCTTATTCATTTGCTTACATCTTTTATATTGATGTTGTTTTGGTCACTTCTGGATCCAAGGAAGACAAAGGGAATGTGGAAGGGGCAGCCTCTATCCTTAGAGCCTTGAAACTTGAATGTATTTGGTAGCTGTCTTATTTCCCATAGCCATTTGCATTGCTTTGATGGTTGCATATCATTTTCCTCTATAGGATGTCAAGAACAGAAGAAACCCTCGCCTTGTCCCCTATACCCTTCTAGATGACCGAACCAAGAAATCAAACAAGGACAGCTTGCGTGAGGCGGTACGCACGCTGCTGGGGTACGGCTACAATCTGGAAGCCCCGGACCAAGACCATGGTACTGGCTTTGTTCTCTTCCCTTTGCTGTGTTGCAAAATCACGTGCTGATTCTTCGAAGCCAAATAAATGAATACAAGGGAAGGATCAGAAAGGGTCTTCTAGTCTGAGTATACTTCTTAGGCCAGAAGCTTGTAGTGGATTTAGTTCCCTGAAGATAGGATTAGACCCATCTGTCAGTGGGGTGACTCAGCATGCACTGATTCTTCAGGGGAAGAGAAAGACCTAACTTTCCAGAGAGTCTGTGATGAGTAATTACCTCTCAGATGATAATGGCCTTCTCTCTTACCGTGCCAGTCTCTTTCAGAAGAACTGATTTTAGTGAGAGCTAGTGTTTTCCAAATCTCACCTTCACACTCATTCATATCAGCAATATTTAATTAATTAATGTGATGTTTCACTTAAGGAAGACACATTAGAATAGACAATAAATATTTCTTGAGTTAATGGATTTTTTTCTTCTTTGGTGGTACTGGGAATAAAACCCAGGGCCTCACACATGCGAAGGAAGTCCTCTACCTCCGAGCCACACCCCCAGCCTCTAAGTTAATGTATTTTTAAAGTTTATATAAGAACATATTTCCCTTAAATGATATTTTTAAGAATATGATTTAAAGTGGTTGACTCTTCAGCCCTTTCTCATGCCGTTTTATTATTCATATTTATATTTTATAATTGGAAAAAATGAAATGAAGATTGTATTTTAT